CCTAAGTAATGTCAAAATAGGAAGTTATTAGCATAATCTAGGGAGTTAATAAGCCTTAAGGCTACAAATAACTTCTATCATGCATGGTTTAAAGTTAGTTGATCAAGCAATTAATGGGTTGGACTATAACTTGGGTGGGTGTTTCAGAATATATAGGCCTCTCCTCAGGTTCTTATTTACTTACATGTCCAATAAGGGTGTCGTTGTAATCTTGTTGAGAGAATCCTCTGTTTTTCTTCCCACTCACGATTTCCAACACCAAAACTCCAAAGCTATACACATCTGACTTTACTGAGAAAAGCCCATGCACTGCATACTCCGGAGAGATGTAACCACTGAAATGTAGTTTCCGAACTTCATTGATATATGAGAATTTTAAATGAAACTAATACAATCAAATGAGAATAGTTTAGATTCTTACTAAGTTCCAACCACTTTGTTCGTGTTAGCTTCAGTCTCATATCCGCTAAACTTTCTAGCAAGGCCAAAATCTGATATCTTGGGATTCATGTCCTTGTCCAGCAATATATTACCAGCTTTCAGATCTCTATGGACGATTCGTAGGCGTGAATCTTGATGCAAATAAAGAAGTCCTCGAGCAATCCCATTGATAATATGAAAACGAAGAGGCCAATCAAGCATGATGCTTCTAGATGCATCTGCCAGATAATAGTCACTAAATTAGTTTATATACAATTATTAATGAACTTAACTATATATCACAAGTGAAATGAGTGCGTCGAACCAAATATAAAGAAGTCAAGGCTTTTGTTCTCCATGTATTCATATATCAACATTCTTTCATCTCCTTGGATGCAGTATCCGAGAAGCTTCACAAGATTTCGATGCTGAAGTCTGGCAATACATCCAACTTCATTCTTGAATTCATCAACACCTTGTGACGAAGTTGCTGAGAGTCGTTTCACAGCTATTTCTCGTCCATCTTCAAACACACCCTAAAGATTCAGGTTACGGATATATTATTAGCTATCTGTTATATCTAAATAACCTAATATTAATTACTATTTTTCACATAAAGAGGGAATGTATTACCTTGTAAACTGGACCAAATCCACCTTCACCAAGCTTATTGTCCAGAGCAAACTTGTTAGTTGACTTAGAAATCATGGACAAGCTAAAGGCCGACAGCTCTGTATCTTTATTACTATCCTCATCATTGGTATAGTTCTCATCACGGGCTTGCATTAAAACTATAAATTAGGATATATAATTAGTGTCTGCTAATTTCTAGTAAAAAAAGAACTTGGTTGGGGTACCTTGTCTTCGCTTGCCAGATCTTTTCTTCTTTCTCCATGCTACATATAGTGCTATAATCAGACATACAAGAAATGAAGCAAGTGAAGTTGACACAACTATGGTGATCGTTGGTTTCTTCTTTCCAGACCCTGAGCCATATTCTGGGGAAGTAGAACCTTTACTCAATCCAAATGAATGACAAATGATCGTCAGGATGTTATTTTGTAGATATACAGATGAAATCGGAATCATATACAACTACGTACAATTAAGGGTTTAATAAGAGAGATGGAGATGGAGAAGAGAAGCCTTACTTGGTAGTTCGGAAGCAGGCATTCTTATGTGAAGTTCTTGTGTTTCATCATACACCCGAATATCCATTAGATCACCGAACCATAGCATGCATCCGCTTCCACCATTTCTGATATCTAAACTTGCATAAGCTGTACAAGAGCAATTCCTTTTGCAAGTCGTTTCACATTCACCAAGTGTCATGCTCAAATCATACACTGAACGATTTGTATCTGGGAATTTTACACCTGAAAGTCTACGAAATCCATCCCCATTCCCGCAAGCTAATGGTGTTATCCTTTGACACCCACTTGACCAGTCTGCTAAATTCCATTCTTCAGTGTTACGTGGTTCAAAACCTTCTAGGCAACTACAAGCAGGGGCATTGTTAATGTTGCAGTTTGCATATGAACCACATGTAGCATAACGTGCACAAGCATCAACACTACTTGCAGTTGAATAGGTAGTCCAATTTTGTGTGCGACTGACCCAAATCAAGTCTTCCATTTTGCCATCCGCACTCAAATGCATCCTGGAAATAAGCGAGTCGTTCACAAGTGCATATTCATAGTATATCTCATTCTCATTGAAAACAAACTGGTGTGTGAATATTGAATTTTCGCCTAAATTAGGCATGCCATTGAATGTAACACCATTCCATGGTCCGAATCTCGACACTGGAACCATATTATGCCTCTCAAAAAGTTGTGGATACCCATTTGTATCCACCCGAAAGACATACTGACCTGCAGAAGGAGAAGGGTCATCATCGCTCTTCCATGACCTCAAGTATGTTTCTTTTCCTGTTACCAAATCCACGCCGATTCTCATTCCTGAGAGAAGGGTGTCTACAGGATAATCAAAACTTTGCCATATTAAACTTCCCTGATCCCTCAGAACAAGATTTCCAGTATCCAAAAGCTGTGCTACCAAATCGCTACCCCTGTCAGATGCGGATGAATTTGATGACCAGAATACAGAGTTGTTACCATTGAGAATTTGGAGTGCACCCTGGCTAATTCTGAGCACACCAGACGTATCATTCAATGGAGTCTCTGTGTTAGCAACCCACACCACCGTACGGGTTGATATCATCTTGTACCATATCCCTACGTACCGATTATTTGATCTGCCAGGTCTGAAGAACCCCATTTCAAAGATTTCACCAGCTGAAACAATGGTGTCACCATTTGTGATGGTTTGATTTGCTGATATGGTGTCTACTGCTGCTGCACAAGTTATCAAAATTGAGATTAGAAGAGCACCAAAGCATAAAAATAATATGGTAAGCTTCTCCATGAATGTGTTCATATGTGGATTATGTGTGGGTTTAAGCCATAACGACATGGGTCAAAAGAAACAAACTTAATTTCCCGACCGAGGCAAAATTCAAAGATGACGGTTCCACTTGAGAGAATTAGCAACTGTTCCAAGTAACGCCATTTTTCGACAACACCCACTTGGGACTTGATACTTGATACAAAATGGTAAAAGATTTAGGCATTTAGCGCGATCGACTTGTCACGGAAGTTATAATGATTAAAACCAGAAGATCCCAAGCAGCCAGAAAGATAACATATAAATACTCGGTCACGATGGCCTGAGTGTGACGGGACGTGTGGGAACCTTGATTAGTCAATGAGTGGGCCCAAACAACCATTGATTGAAAATATCGAATGTATGGCGGTGACCAGAATCATATGCTGTTTGTTTCGTTACGTTAAGATCTGAAATAAATAATATCATAAATTACATGTTCGGTCACTGTAAGCCCGGCCCATAGGGTGTCATCCTGGGCCACCCCACTTGAGAGAATTACCAACTGCATTATAGAGTAAAGTTCACAAAGGATCGTTGTTTATTAATGTGTGAATGGATCTCACATTGTACTAGTTTAGTTTTTAGAAAGCAAGATTGTTTTTTATGAACTTTACTCTATAATGCAGTTGGGGCAGGTAATTATAAGAAAAGAGAAGTGGATTTTGTGGATGAATCTCTTCTGCACGCCATGTGTTTGATTATTGGCCGGTTTGTATGAATCTTGAGTGCTTTAGGGAGGAGGGAATCCTTCCCTCCCAACCCACTGCCACATCAACATTTCTCTATCCTTTCTGTCTTTCTCAACCTACAAGATATATAAATCTTATCTTTCCCAACTCACTCAACTCACTTAATTTTTTATTTTAAAATAAACACAAACTAATAAAAGTTATACAAAACTAATTTACATAATATTAAAAATATACAAAATAATTTAAAAACTAATTAAATAATATAAAAAATTGATTTGGTACAAGTTTTGATGCATAATGTACAAGTGATTATTGCATGAGTTGAAAATTATATATACGGGTTAATGAAGCCGCATATATAACTCACTCAACCCAAAATATTGAAACCGCTCAAGAAGGTGTCCTAACTTGGAGGTACCGCCGGTACCTCCCTTAAAATATTCATGATACCCTCCTCCCTTGTATGTATATATATATATATATATATATATATATATATATATATATATATATATATAGATCCGGTAAGAAATTTTTTTTGGTAGGAAGGTAAGAAGTTTTTTTTGTACATATTTTTTTGACGAACAAAATAAATGAATCACTAGATAATTCATTTGTAAGATGATTCACAAGAAAAAATTCCCAAAAAAACATTTTTATGATTCATTTTTAAGTAAATTATGAAAAAATTCAATTTTATGACAATTTTAGTGAATAACAACAAAATCATTGTATAAATGAATCATCAAGATGTTTTTTTAAGAATTTTTTCTTGTGAATCATCTTACAATTGAATCATCTAATGATTCATTTTGATTGGTGTTGCCTATAAAAATATACTTAAAGTTAGGGAAATCTCCGGAAAAGTCCCAATATTTTACCCTAATTTATGAAAAAATCCAAAACTAAAATTTGTTTACGAAAAAGTCCAAATTACCGGTAAAAACGACGATTTGGCCCTATTTTCCCGGTTTACCGGTTTCATTAGTTACCTGGTTTTAATAAAGTCCCATTATTTTACCATAATTTATGAATAAGCCCCAAATTATGGTAAAATAATAGGACTTTAATGAAAATTATGGTAAAATAATGAGACTTTAATGAAACCGGGTAAGTATTGAAACCGATAAACCGGAAAAAAGGGTCAAATCGTCATTTTTTCCGGTAATCGGGACTTTTTCATTAACCAATTTTAGTTTGAGATTTTTTCGTAAATTAGGGTGAAATATTAGCACTTTAGCTAATGTATATATGTCCTCTCTTGTAAATAGTTAATGTATGTACTCTCTTGTAAATTGCTTTTTTGTATGTGTGTAATGTACGGTTTCAAAATCTTCATAGATTTTATGCAGACATACTATTTTTTTTTGTCATTCCATATCATCAAATAAATAATTAATGCATGTTTACATCCCAACAGACTATTGAAAGTAAAGTCTTATTTAAACACTTGTATTATGCAACAAAACATATTTAGGGCCCATAGATTCTACATTATTTTTGTTGATGCGTCTTTAACATATGCATGCAGAAAAGAAAATCAAGTACTTATGATCACAAAATGGATCTTAACATGAACAGATATACATATATTATCGAGGTTCTAATGTTGTCATTGTGATGTCATTTCCAGAAACTAGATAACATTGAGGCACACTCCCTTTGGCAAAAAATGCAGGTTGTTTAGGTTGAGATAATGCACCTTCTTCACCAAACATCAAAACCACAGATGACATAGTTGGTCTGTCATTTGCATGATGTTGGACACATAAAAGACCGATATGTATTGACCGAAGTACTTCGGAGGCTACACATGAGTTACGCATATGCACACCAAGCAACTCCATAGCCTTACCTTCTTCAAAGAGTCTCCATGCCTAAAAAAACCATAATACCCCCCAACAAAATTAAATTAAATGTATATAGATAAATGATATTTCAAAAATATTTAAGAAAATAATCCTATTAGTGGAAATTCTTTCCATGTTGAGTTCAATAAGTAAAGAACTTACATGTGCAAGAAGATTATCACTGTCGTCATTTTCATGAGAAAATCCTTGATTTTTCTTCCCACTTACTATTTCCAGCACAAGAACACCAAAACTGAAGACATCTGATTTTTCAGAGAAAATCCCATCTAGAGCATACTCTGGTGATAAATAACCCCTGTAGGAAAATTCGTGATTGTGAACATTTAAAAATTTGTCTTGAAATATATATATATATATATATATATATATATATATATATATATATATATATATATATATATATATATAAAGAAAGTTGCATGGTTAACTAATGGATTCTAATTACAAAGTTCCAACTATGTTGTTCGTATTTGCTTCATTTTCATGTTCTGTGAACATTCTTGCGAGACCAAAATCTGATATCTTAGGATTCATGTCAACGTCCAGCAAAATGTTGCTTGCTTTAAGATCTCGATGAACAATTTTAAATCGTGAATCTTGATGAAGATAAAGGAGTCCTCGAGCAATCCCATGAATGATGTGAAAACGATCTGACCAACCTAGTATCGAACTTTTGATTTTATCTGCCCAATATAAGTTATCAGTATGATTTACTTTAAGAAAAAATGGATAGCAAGCAAGGAGAAGAGGAATTAATTAATGTATCATAGAAAGTAGAGTTATACCAAATATGAATAAGTCCAGACTTTTGTTAGGCATGTATTCGTAAATTAACATGCTTTCATTTCTTTGGATGCAGTATCCCAAAAGCTTTACAAGATTCCGATGTTGAAGTTTAGCAATGAATTTAAGTTCATTCTTGAACTCTCCAAGGCCTTGTCTTGATGTTTTAGACAACCTTTTCACAGCTATTTCTTGTCCATCATCCAGCACACCCTAAAGATTGAAATATATATTTTTATATACTTCAAGAAGTATAATCTGTTTTGCAATTATGAACAATATAAATAGAACAATGGTTGGTTAATTTTGCTACCTTGTAAACCGAACCAAAACCACCTTCTCCTAGCTTTTTGTCATTTGCAAAATTGTTAGTAGACTTGGATATCTTAGTCAGGCTGAAAGATGATAACTCTGTATCATCGTCTTGGCTTTCCATGATATACTTTTCGTCTATAGTTTCTGCCGTTTTATCTGCAAATGATAGAAACCAAACTAATATGAGTTAATGAACAATTTCTGTTAAAAATTGTTATATCAGCGATCACTTTATCAAAAGTAATCATAGAATTACCTGGAAATTTCACTTGGGATCTCTTCCTCTTGCTCCTAGTACCATACAAGATTGCTAAAATCAAAATCACTATAACAAGGATAGATAAAAACGATACCACCACTACGATCTTTTGTCTCTTTTTGTTGGAATCAGCTGGTTTGGAGGTAGATTGTGGGATTGATGGAACTAGTAACAAAATCGTAACAAATAATTAATGGTGTTTGAAAACCCGAACTTATAACATGAACAGTTAAAAAGGTGTCTTGCATGGATATCTCTTTTTAATTTAACATTTTTATATTAAACGCAAGTTATATATGTAAATAATCTTACTTGTAATATTTAAGTCGGAGATAGCCATTCTTACGTATAGATCCTGGCTTTCATCCACTGTTCTAATATCTATTAGATCGTCGAACCATAGCAAGCATCCACTTCCGTTGATTCTGATATCGATATTTGCATACGCTGTACACGAACAATTCTGCTTGCATGCTGTCTCACACTCGCCAAGTGTCATGCTCTGATTGTACCATGAACGCCGAGTGTCTGGCATTTTAACGTTTTTAAACACTCGAAAGCCATCTCCATTTGGACAACTTAAAGCAGTTCTACGGCGACACCCACTTGACCACTCGGAGGCACTCCATTCGTCTGGGTTTCGTGGTTCGAACCCTTCCATGCAACTACAAGCCGGTGAGTTCTTCGGGTTACATCTTCCATATGAACCACATTGTCCAAAACGGCTACACATGTCAATATCCGCGTTCCAGTATAGGAACCACATCTGTGTTCTTTCGATCCAGTTCAGTCGAAACGCGTCACCCTCTGGACTAAAGTAGACACGCGTCACCACTGAAGTGTTTACAAGTGTGTACCCGTAGTACACCTCCTTATCATCCAAAACAAATTTGTGTGTGAATAATGAGTTTGAAGTATGACTAGGCATGCCATTGAACGTAAGACCGTTCCATGGTCCAAACCTCAAGAAAGGAACAGGATTTTGTACTTCTTTGAAGAACAACTGAGGAAACCCATTCGTATCCATGAATGCTAGATACTCTCCTGGTGAAGGATCGTCAAGGCTCTTCCATGATGACCACCGCCTATCCCTCCCAGAGACCAAATCCTTCCCAAATTTCATTCCGGCAAGAAATGCATCTCCAGGGTGATCAAAGCTTTGCCAAATGAAACTTCCTTGGCCACTTTGATCTCTAACAACAAGATTTCCAGGGTTCAAAAGTTGCGCCACTGGATTTTTGGTTGTTAGAGATATCCGGCCAGGGTTAGATGACCAGACAGTGGTGGTGTTGCTACCAGCGATAACCAATAAGGATCCGTTGGTGTCAACTCTGAAGACACCTGACAAGTCGGTTATTGGTTTCTCCCTGTTGGCAACCCACACCACTGTCTGTGGGGATTTGTTTTTGTACCATATCCCCAAATACCGGTTCGTAGAGTTTCCGGGACTGAAAAAACCGAGTTCATACATTTCATCAGCTGAAACAAGGGTATGCCCGTCATGGATGGCTTCATCAGCTGCAATGGTGTCTTGTGCCCTACAAATTCTCAGATCAGACATGATCAGGAGGCCAAAAATTAAGAAATAATGAAGGACCTTCATTGAAGTTTTCTTTGGAGATTTAAATGTTAGTTCTTTTTTTCTTTGAACGGCTAACTGTTAATTCATTTGGAATATATGCATTTTTTTCAAAGAGTGTTAGATCAGAAGAAGACACTAAGGGTTGACCTGGTGAGTGATTCTCCAAGATTTTGCTCCAGAATTTGGACTTAGGCAGGAGCATGCATTTGGTCGACGACACTAGCATCAAACCCCACTTGCTATGTCGATCATGACTGACTTTTTTGGAATTCAATTAAATACATTTTTTTACGATGGTTCATCCACGGTTAAAGCTTATGGGAATCACTACTACAAAACAACCATGGTGCGGTATCAGTGTTTTTTTTTTTTTTTTTTTTTTTTTTTTTTTTTTGGAGTAAATTACACGATTCGTCCCTCGTCCAAGTGTTAAATTGCACGTTGAGTCCCTATTTTCAAAAATTAACTCGGACTGTCCCTGTAATGTATTTTTTTAACTAGGACCGTCCCTGACGGACATAAATGTCTATTTTACCCTTTTTATTTCTCTTTTGATATATTTTATGATTTGTTTGTTATTAACTATTTAAAAGAAAAATAAAAAATCCTGACAACAAAAAATGGGCCCACCACCCCCAAACACTTACCATCTATCCTAATCCTACCCACACCATTCAATCCTAGTCGGTTCATATTCTTCACATGGGTCGCCGGAGCTAGAGAGAAATGGGTCGTCGAAGCCACCACTGCCATCGCTTCACTCCACCTGCACACCGCTTCTCCTGCCGGAAACAACCATCAAAAAACTGATATTATTCCCTTTTCCCTTTATCTTTCCCCCCCCCCCCCCTTTCTTTTATCACTTGCATCCACAACCACTGAAGACACCAGAGGTGAATTGGAGTCCACCGGAAACAATCTCCCTCTCAGGTTCTAGGTCGTCATCATCTCTTCAAAATCTTCACCTCCCCTGTATCAGATCGGAACGTCTCCATCGGCGGAGCTAAAACGTTGCCACCACCATACCTGCAACTCGTAGAGTGGTCGGAGAAGAGGAAGGAAGAGTGGAAGAAGATGGGTTCGGGTGGAGCTTTTTTCGTACCGAGTCTCATGTTCTCGCTGATTTCTTTGAAAGCTCCTTTGTTTTTTACGGAAGTAATTTCTGGAGAAGAAGACCACCACCATATGTAGGATTTTGATTTTGATTTTAGTTTCTGAACCAGTTTCGATTTTATTTTCTGGAACCAATTTCAAGTTTCTTTTTTTATTTTGGTTTGGTTTGGTGCTCTTTACAGCTGGTTGTTGGAGGCAAATGATGGTGGTTGCTGGAGGGAAAGGGTTGTGGTAGCTAAAACTGGTCGGAACCCTTCATCTTCTTTGATGTTTAGTAGCTGGTGGTGTCGGAAAAAAGTGCGTGTCGAAGAAGGGGATAGACGAGAAGGGAGAACCAGAGTGTGAGTTGTATGAGTTTTATTTGGATTTCTGGGTAATCTGGTGGTACTTGGTAGGTGGTCGGAGATGGTATAACTAGAGGTCATTTCAAAGTCGGTGGTAGGTGGCCGGAGATGGTGGTCGGTGGTCGATGGCTGGCCGGAGAGTATATGTCTGGTTCCTAACCTTCAAAGGAGTGGCTGGGTTTGGATGGGGTGTAGGTGTTTAACCAAATTTTTTTTTATTTTTCTAATATAAATTAGAAAACAAATGATAATTAAAATAAAAAAAATTAAATAAAAAGGGTAAAATAGACAATTTTATGTCTGTTGGGGACGATCTGAGTTAAAAAAATACATTACAGGGACGGTCCGAGTTAATTTTTTAAAATAGGGACTCAACGCGTAAAGTGACACTTGGATGAGAGACGAATCGAGTAATTTATTCTTTTTTTTGTAAACTGTGTGTCGTACTAAGTATATTTGGCATCAGCTTCTTAAGCTATTGACAAGCTCGGTTTGTACAAATTGATACTAGTATGTACCAATTGACACAAATAATATTTAATTGAAGACAAGATATATAAAAGAAGAGATGTCCGACAATTTAAAGTGGCAAATTGTTTATTTTGAAGGCCCTGTACGAAAAATAAAATTGGGCCCCTAAACATAATTCTTTTTATATATAAGCAAATTCATTAATACTAAGATAAGTCGATAATTGTTAAAAAAAAACAATTAGATAAACTATAATCGAACATAGTTACAAGAATCGAGATGCTCTCATAGCATTTTTAGCGGTAAAGTTGTTCATCAACTTTTCACAATCAATATTCTCTAGTATATTAGTCTCAGTAATTGTTATTTCCAAATCATTAAGTTTTTCTTGTGACATTGTGGACACGAAGTACAAATTTAATAACTTCAATTTTGAGAAACTAGTTTCTATTGACGTAACACTTGCTAGAATAGTCATCAAGACTCTATTTGCATTAATTGCATTATGGAAAACCGACTTTTTTCATATATTTTAAAACATCGGTTATATTAGTAGTTTCATTCACTAAGAACTCGTCAACCAACTTTAACTCTAGATAAAGTTAACTGTCCTCAATATCTGATCATTCACCATACTTAAGTGTGGTAAGAACTTGTCAACCACCTATAACAACTTGGCAAGTTTAAGAGAAGGAGTAGCATCGTAGCGACTTACAACTAGGATTGGCGAAATTAAGATGTTGAATTCTGATGATGATACCTTTTAGTCAATTTTGTTTTCGGACTTAAATTACTAGTCTACTATAACAAATTGTATGTAAAAATTGGCCCCCCTCCACGACATAGGCCATGCGTTGTCCATCCACCTCGCATACCCTCAAAGACGTTCATATTGAATGATTTAATGCACAAACAATTTTTGGAGAAATGGATTTCACCTTACACTAAAAAATAAGACCATTCCTAACACAAAAAAAAGATTTCACCTTACACTAAAAAATAAGATCATTCCTATAAGACCAAATAACCCAAAAGAGTGACCTTATGCATGGAGATTAGGGATTTGAAGTAAGTTCAAAATTATTATCTCCACCAACAATTAAAAAAAATTGTCCTTTACTAAAGGTTTTATTTGTTATTTTTTAATTTAATAACTAATATTTTAGTCTTTAGGTTAAGTGTAGTCTCTGCTAACTTTATAATAAATATATTAAATAAGTTGGTTGATACAGTATTATTATGATATTCAAAATTTTGTATCATTGTCATACCAAGATAACACAATTGATACTGCTGCCAACCAAATATATTGGCTACCAATTTAATTAATTCAGTTCGTAATATGTTGGTTGGTTTTATTTGGTATATATTTGACATCCTAGTATTATTGACGGCCAATTTGTCAGTAGGTCGTACCAAAAGTTATCAGAAAAGTGTGAGGTTAACTTTTATGATTAACGAATGATTACACACAAAATGCATTTACAAAAGGATACTGTGACCGGTGGACGAGTTCTAGGATTTTTTAGTGGCGAAACTCTATCGCCAATCTATTAAGTGTTCAATCTTTTTTTTTTTTTAATTACAGAGATGGAATACACTAATATAACAAACACAAATCCATATTTCACATTACCAACCACAAACTATAAACATATATTCAAAAATTTTACAGCACATATTCCATAAAAATAAAACAACTAGGATGAGCAAGTGCATTACATTTTGCGTGAATTTTTTCAATAGTTCAGTATTGTTGTGCGAAACGAAACGAACTTCATACCTTTCACATTCTTCTCGTATTTGTTGTTGAAGACAGGCATAAAACTGTTCATGCTCTTCACATATATGTTGTTCACCCCCTGTTGTAACAACCCAACTTTTCAAAGAAAATTTTCATTTTTGATTAGCCAAAACACTTCTCCATAAACCATGAAATCCAAATACAAATGTTTTCAAAATTCATATCAGCTACAATTTTATTTCAAAACATCAGAGTGTCTCATAAAAACGTCTGAGAGAGAGTGCACGTCGCGCCATCAAGCCTTGCCCTTACCCTTGGGCTCAGATGTACCTGAAACAATCCACAAATTGTAAGCTAATGCTTAGTGAGTCCCCCAGATCATACCCCACACACAATCCACGTATCACATATCAAATTAGCTATAAAAGCTACATATATCACATAAGCCATGCATACAACATATAAGGAAGCCATGGAAACCCTCCAGGGTCTTACACCTAGTGCCACTGGAACCCCCACGCGGTCTTAACTACCTGCCACAGGAACCCCCACATGGTCTTCCTGCCATGGGAACCCCCACATGGTCTTCACTAACTTCCATGGGAACCTCCACATGGTCTTCTGTAACATCCCAAAATCGAGACCCAAATTTTTTTGTTAAATTATATTACTTTAGAAATTGTTCACGGAAAACATCATTAATATCATTTCAAAACATCAAGTCACAGATCACAAGTCTCGAAAACATAATAGCAATTAGTAAAATGCCAGAGTACAATCCCAGGGTTCTCAATACGGAAATCATCTGTGTATGTGATGCGCTGCTACCCCGCCGGCTCCTTCCCCTTGGATGAAGATGTACCTGAAACCAAAACTGAAAATTGTAAGCACAAAGCTTAGTGAGTTCCCCCATCATACCACATACCAAACAACATACATACTGCCGGGCAATTCTGCGGAGCCTGACCTACCCATGTCAAGCAGTTCTGGGGTGCTGACCAACCCATATCAAGCAGTTCTGGGGTGCTGACCAACCCATGTCAAGCAGTTCTGGGGTGCTGACCTACCCTCCAGTCTATCTCAACCGGCAACGAGGACTATTTCACCCCTACTACTAGCAAATCATAATCATACTATCATAATCATGCTGTCATAATCATACTGTCATAATCATACTGTCAAGCATTCCTGGGGTACTGACATACCCTTCAGTCCTAACGACCGAGGCGGGGGACTATTCCCCTCCTACTACCGCTATCACATACAGTATATCATGCTGGCACATAAAGCACATCTGGTAATAGCAA